ATTTTGAAAAATTGTGATGGTGAATATTATAATGGACTTTACTCTGTGTGGATATTCCAATCAGTCAGCTGAGGCGTAAAATAACGGCCTGCCAAATGCCAGTGACAAGCTATAATTATTTAATTGCAGACTGAATAACACATATACCTACCTACAACTGACACCTTCCCAATGTGACAATGCGAGTGATTAACACTAAAACACAAAATCTGCCCACCCCATAGCTTCTGCAAGACTGCTCATTTATCAAATAGTAATATTAAGGTGTCGTGTTGCCATCTAGTGGAATTCAATGACAATGAAAGTCAGGAAAGAATGCTTTCTTACACAGGGGCTGGAATCCCAAAGGTCTCTAAACTAAATATATTTCCATACATACGTTCAACATTAGCTTCAGTCTTGCAATTAGCAGAGAGAGAACGTGAGAGAATGCATTGTGTTTGAGTTGGATCCAAACCCAGAGCCCAGAGCTGAAAGGGCCATCCACTAAAAACAGCCCCCGCAGAGCAACCAGGGCTCTGTCAGTAACTTCTTTGATAAAAGGCAATACTGGTCGAACAATACAATGTATTGCAGTACAATTTACATGTATTAATTCATTTCACGTCAGGAGGATATCCAAAAGTGCATTGCCGGATGGGCACCGGGGTTGGGGGTGGATAGGTGAAAGATGACTGAAAGCGCATGAAAGAGGTAAGGTCTGAGTCATGGTTTGAAAGAGGGGAGGGAGGGAGCGAATGATGTCTTGTAGCTCAGTGGTTTAGAGCGCTCGCCTCGCAAGCGAGAGACCTGGGTTCTATTCCCGACAGGGCGAAATGTTGGGCAAGTTTCCTTACTCCCCACACCTCTGTTTGCTGAGCAGTAGGTAGGAACCCAGTTGTTAGTCGATTAGCGGATCACTTTTCTTGGGTAATAATTCCTTATAAAAAAATTGGTCACTTAATCCACGACTGTTTGTGGGACGCTGCTGTGCCCAATTGGCTGCCGCGTTCCGCCCACAAAATATACAGTCCATTCACTTCACAGTATGTTCTCTGAAGCACTTTGAGATGGCTCGAAGATGTGATCGGGTTCTATATCAAATGCAATGATTGTTATTTTATTATTACAAGGTAATCTTCAAATCTGTGGACAGGTTGCTTTGAAAACTCGGGTTTATTTGCCGATGGTCCTTCGCTGCTCAAGAGAGACAAAGAATCTTAAGACCGGGAAATGTCCAAAGTCAGTGGTTAGGAAGTGAAACCCAATATTAGATCAAGCGAAGAGTTAAGAAATAATCAAAATCGACTTTAGAAGATTGCCACAGACTCCGTTTTGCTCTGTCCATCTCTGGGCCACACCATATGATGCATTAATTCGCTGCGGAGCTCTGAGCTGTGATCTTTCCATCTATTATGCAACATACATGTTGTGCTCCCTCCAAACCCCTCCCCTCCCAATAATATATCACTACAAAAAAATTCCTGATATGCACCCGGGTTTTATGGACAGAAATATTCTACATTTGTCGGTTAGTGATAAAAAATAATACTGTCAGACCTTAGAGAGTTAAAGGGGTGAATTTGCAATGGTTTTGAACACCTTCAATAACACAATGAACCTGTTAAGAAACAACATACTTTCTCCTCTACATATATATATATGTGCACTTTTACCAACAGAGCCAAATAATTTGAAGAATTCACAAAAAAAACTCTCAAGGGTCATTATACAGTAAGAACAAGAATTATTGTAAATTACACATCCCTCTTTTGTATAATCTATTTGATCTATTTCTGTGAGGTGCTGTTCTGAACCTAATTAAATTTCCTTGTAAAATATGACTGAACCTTCAAATGAGATATGGATTCTGACCTCCTCTCCTCCTCCTGTTGGCACTGTTATTCATATAGCAAAATATTTCATTTGCTTCTTTTGAACAAACATTGTAATTCAAAATGGGTTGCACTTTGTGCTCGTCGCTGATTTTCCTTCTTTGTACGGTTAAGTCCTTTATCTGGAAGCTTCTTAATAAGGCAATGAGGGTGGAGAGGGAGAGCTAATTTGGGGGCGAATGTTGTTGCAATTTTGTTGTATTTTTAATGTACTTTTACAATCTTTTGGTTGACTCTGGCTGCTCTAAGTGCTGGACTGAGGTCATAATACATACTCTCTCCCCTCTTTGCAAAGCATGGTCCCAATCCATTAGTGGATGCTGCCATGCTCAATATTTCTCTATGCCAATAAAATACAGGTCTTTCTTTCCTTTATGATTGTCTACGCCTGTATATTTTCTTACGTTACAAAAAGAAAAGGACTTGCCTTGCCACCCTATGATTTGTACCTGGTTCCTTCCTTATTTTCTCTCTAAGCGCTGGTACCTTTCAGTAGTCGAGAAAAGCTCATTTGTTCACCTTGTAAAAGGGGCATGGCAAAAGATATTCTTTTACCCGTCAAAAAAAAATCCAACAGTTAAATTATTTATGTCCACAAAAAAAAATTGCTTCTTTAAATTAGCTTATTATAAAATAATTCTCTGAGTGTCTGATTTGGATGTCAGAAAGCTGCGGTGGCATATTCCCCCGTGACTGCTGTGATGGTATATCATTTAAATAGGAATTACATTGAGACACCAGCAACTCTCATCACTGCAGCTTTAGGCATAAGAAGGCCCTCTGGTGTTACGGCGATATCTCTACATGGAGTGCAACTGTGCAATGAAAGATTTCAGGCCCCGACTCGCCACTAAATTTGTGCGGGTGTATTGATGGGGGGGGGGGAAGGTTCTATCACATAATAGAGAGAAAACATAATATCCTGAACATGGAACGAGAGGATTGCTATTTTAACATCAGCAATAGAGTAATAGACTTTTCCCCCCTACCCCCCCATGGTGAGAATAATCAGAGGATCCGGCAGTAGGGAAGAGTTGATTGGGCCACTGTGTACCACTGGTTGTGTAAGTTGGATGGCGCTTATCAGGCTCCTTAAAGCAATGAATCAAACAGCTACATTGTCTATACTTTATTATCTCGTGTGTATTACTGATCTGCATTTCTCATCGGTCCAGTAGTTCACTGAATCTCCAAAGCCTTTTCCAATCCTAATTCCAACATTTTATTCGGTTCCTCACCTCTGCACTCTTTTTATCACTATCTGCATTTTATAGGATAAGTAAGTAAGCAAATAAGTCGACTGAGATGGACTTTCCTGCTTAAATATCACTTCCAGTCCTCTGACCCTCCAGTGACTCTCATTATCCCGAGGGTGGGTGGAGGGCAGAGAGGATTAGAGGGTGGCCGAAGGCTCGGTCGAAGAGGAGGGTCTTGGGGCGTGCCTTGAAGGAGACAAGGGAGGGAGCAAGGCGAAGGGAATGTGGGATGGAGTTCCAGAGGGTGGGGGCATAGACTGAAGGCTGGACTGCCGATGGTGGGGCGTGCTGGGCGGGGGACATGGAGCAGACCAGAGTCTGCTGAGCAAAGGGTGTGGACAGGTTGATAAGGGGTTAGCAGATCGGAGAGGAAGGAGGGGGCAAGGCCATCGAGTGACAGTGTCAAAGGCAGCAGAGAGGTCGAGAAGGACGAGGAGACAGAGGGAGCCCTGGTCACAGATGGACGGAACGTCATTTGTCACCTGCTGTTGCTTACACATACACACACCAAACCCACCACCCCCCACCCAGAACCCCCCCACCACCCCCACACCAATTGGAGGGGTTCGTAAAGGGAGTGGCGGGAGAGGAAGGAGTGAAGCAACAACTCTTTTAAGGACCTTGGAAAGAGAGGTTGGAGATGGGCCAGTAGTTATTGAGCAGAGATGGGTCCAGGGAAGATTTTTTTTTAGGATAGGGATGATGACAGCCGTTTTTAGGGGGGTGGGAACGGTGCCAGTTGACAGGGAGAGGTGGACGAGATCTGAGAGTACAGGGGCGAGGAGGTTGAATAGGGAGGTAAGGAGAGGGGTAGGGATGGGGTCGAGGGAGCAGGCGGTGGGCTTCATGCAGGTTATAGTGGTGGTGAGAGTGGAGGGGGAAGACGGGTTCAAGGAGGGATGGGTAGGGGCCCCGGGGTGCGAGGGAAAGATGGGGAGGGTAGAAGTGGCCGAACGGATCCCTCGATATTGGTCTGGAGCAAATCCAACATCTCCTCGCAGTTGCAGTTGGAGGAGACGATGGGACGAGGCCTGAGAGGGGGGACGGAGGAGCCAGTTGGTGATGGAGAAGCCAAGCCTGGGGTTGTCCTCTACTGTAAAGTGTAGTGACTGTTTATTTGTAGATGATTCACGCAGATGCATCTAATAGGTACAAATCTCTTCCATGACAACTGTGTGTATAAATAGGGTGTGGGAACTGCACAGGAACATGTGTGTGTATGTGGGGGGGTGGGGGGGTGGCTGTCTGGGTGGGTGTGGGGGCTTGGTTGGTTGGTTTGTGTGTGGGGGGGTGGGTTGTGTGTGTGTGGGGGGTGGGGTTTGTGTGTGTGTGGGGGGGGTTGTGTGTGGGGGGTTTGTGTGTGTGGGGGTGTGGGGGGGGTGTTGTGTGGGGGGGGGGTGGGGGGGGTTTGTGTGTGTGGGGGGGGTGTGTGTGTGTGTGGGGGGGGTTGTGTGTGTGGGGGGGGTGTGTGTGTGTGTGGGGGGGGGGTTGTGTGTGGGGGGGGGGGGCTTTGTGTGTGTGGGGGGTGTGGGGGGGGGGTTGTGTGTGTGTGTGGGGGGTGTTGTGTGTGTGGGGGGTGTTGTGTGTGGGTGGGTTGTGTGTGTGGGGGGGGGTGGGGGGGTGTTGTGTGTGGGTGAGGGTTTGTGTGTGTGGGGGGTGGGTGTAAGCTGCAGCAGCAGCAGCTTTGGTATTTCTTGTCGGCCCAGTTCGTGGTGATGGCTGTGCGAGAGCCCTTTAACGAAAGGGGGCGGGGCGTGGCGTGGCGGCGCCTTTAATGGGGCGGTGGTGGTGGGGGAGAGAGAGAGAGAGAGAGAAAGAGGGCGAGTGGTGGTGGTAGTGGCGGCGGCGGCTGCGCGCGCAGCTCGACCGAGTCCGGGCGGGAGGGCGAAAAACATGGCGACGACCATGAAGAAAACGGTGAGTGGACGAGAGAGAGCGAGAGAGAGGCCTGGAACCCGGGAGGGGGGGGGGGAGAGACCGGGGGGCGGACACCTCGCCTCCCGGGCCGGGGGAGGGGGGGAAGAGGCTTCCACCGGCGGCGGGAGGACCCACCCCGCCCGCCTCCCGCTTCTCGTGGCCCCGAGGCCGAGTCATCGACCCCCTCCCCCTCCCTTCCCCCCCTCACCACCAACCCCCCCCTTTCCCTCCTCCCCCCCCTCCCCCCCCCCCCCCCCCCCCTCCGTGAGAGGGAATCAGATCATTAATTCATAATAATGAATAATAATAATAATAATAATAATAATAATGATTCCGGCCCTTTGACACTGCGCCTTCCAGAAGCGTCTCGAAGCGCTTCACGGCTGTCCAGCGCGTGTTTTGTGGGCGAAACGCGGCAGAACAGGACCCCCCCCCACCCCCCAACTACCCCCTCCCCACCCCCCCCCCTCCACACCTACCCCTTCCCCCCCACTCCACACCTACCCCTTCCCCCCCCTCCACACCTACCCCTTCCCCCCCCCCCCACACCTACCCCTTCCCCCCCCCACACCTACCCCTTCCCCCCCCCTCCACACCTACCCCTTCCCCCCCCCCCCACACCTACCCCTTCCCCCCCCTCCACACCTACCCCTTCCCCCCCCCACCCTATCCCCGCCCACCCCCCCGTAAAAAAAAGCGCAGAGGTTGTTATCGAGTTATTGAGCCGGGGGGGGGACAGAAGAGCCGGCGCAAGCTCCCCCACCCTCGCCCCCCCTCCCCCCACCCCGCACCCCCTCCTCCCCGACCGCCCAGCGCCTCGAGACGTCCACCACCGACGTGACCTGACCTGACGGGCGCTCGTTTGTTATGAACGTTAATTAGTGCGTGAACGGCGTAAACATCGCAGGCGCATAAGCTCCGCGCGCCCGACGATGATCCCTCAAGTGAACAGACAGGCAAAAATAAATTGCGGCATTTCAATCCCGCGACTGTTCGCGGGGGCCGCTGCTGTGCGCAATCGGCTGCCGCGTTTCGCCCTCAAAATATGCGGTCAACTCACTTTTACAGTCTATTCTGTGAAGCGCTTTGAGACGTCGAGAAGACGTGAAAAGGCGTTGTATCATATGCGAGGATTATTATTATTATTATGTGTTTGATATCCAAGAGCGTATAAAGGTTGCTGTCTTGTCTGTGTGAAGGATGTGAGGGGGGGGCGGGGGGGTTGTAGCAGATAAGCGGCATCTGGAGAAAACCACACATGGATGGACAAGCCTCTTCCTGAACTGATTTTTTTATAATGATTTTGTTTCGTTAATCACCCAAAAGTGCACCCAAAAGTGCCGTAGCAGTTTACAGCACAGAAGAAAGCCATTCGACCCATTGTGCCTGTGCTGGATCTTTTAAAGAGCAGTCCTTTCAGTCCTTTTTTACCTGCCTTTTCCCCCCCAATACCCCTGGAGTTTGTTTCTTTCTTTCGATATCTGTTGAGTTTCCTTTTGAAAGCTACCGTGGATTCTGCTCTCAACCACCAATCCTGGCGGGGCATTTCGTTATCCTAACCATTCTGCGTGTGAAAACATTTCTTCTGATCGCCTCATTTCCTAGCTACAATTACAAACATTTATATAGCGTCCATCACACATGATAGAGTCTCGGAGTGCTTAGCTAATTTAGCTAAGCTAGTTCATTTAGTTAACTTAAATTTATGCCCTCTAATCACCTTCCTCTGGGAAATTCATACTGCCCGAGTCCAACTTTATCCTGTATCCGCAGAGTGAGATCACAAATGCCAGCAAAGGGAACCTCAGGCTGGTTTTGTTTGTGGTAGTACTTGTAGATGGTAATAATAATCCTCGCATTTGGTATAAGGCCTTTCATGTCAGGTGAACATCGCAAAGTGCTTCACTGGATGTGTTGTAAAATATAGTGACTGTAATTGTGGGCGAACATGGCAGCCTATTTACGCACATCAATGTCCCACAAACAGCCATGAAGTGAATAATTTCAGGTGGAGGATTTTTGGGCCACACTCTGGGAGAAATTCCCTTCTCTTTTTGAATAGTGCCATGAGATCTTTAACATCCACCTGAACAGGCAGACGGGAACTCAGTTTAACATCTTGTTCAAAGGATGTCATCTTCCAACAGTGTAACAAATCCCCAACAGTTCACTGGAGTCTCAGTCTGGACCATGTGAATTCAAAGTCCCAACGTGGGCCTTGAACCCACGGCCTTCGGAGATGGGAGTGCTGTCAAAGGAGCCAGGCAGACACTCTTGACACACACACACAGATAATATCACTGCTTTCAGTAGTTTTTCAAATTTTAGAACATATAAACTTTTTTTTAAGAAATGTTTAAATTAAAACAAATTCTAGTATCTGAAAGTGAATTGGTGCTTCTTTTCATATTGGAGGTGGACCTAAAGGCTTAAAACTTGTCAGCCGATTGTAGGACAGATCAGGTTGGGGACATGAAGCAGTCTGTGCTCACACAGTAACTGATTGGACTGAATCAATTAGGTTGAGGATGCATTTCTAAACCCTTTTTTTTAAAAAAAACTTTTCAAGATTTATTGAAATACATGCTCAACAAGGCTATATGATCTCAATTTATATAAAGCTAGTTTTAAGTTATTTATAATAGCATGGTGCAATTTTATATGCTTGTATTGTAGTGTATTTACTCCTTTGTAAATACATTTAGTAATGCGCAAGAAATATACTGCATTTCTCTAATTCTGAAAATTGCTCCTGATGATTATGAATTTTTTTAAGTGAAACGTAAATTGTTTTGCCAATAATCTTACCGTGCAGTATATGATTCAGATAATCCTTCTTGGCTATAGTGACATTTGTGTAGAACGTCTGTCTATATCTGACCACTTAATGTCGATCACACGCATTTATTGGCATTCTGACTGAAGTACATTCAGTCAGAATGGTGGTGGGGGGGCAGATGGTTGAAAGTAAAACTACTCCCAAGTCATACAGGATATACCACATGGCTGGTGTTACAGTATTGGGGGTCAAAAAGCGTATTGAATTTCATGAAACAATACATTTAATTGCTGAAATGTATCTATTTTGGTGATTAATTGAGGAAAATGAGGAATATCAGTCCTGCAGATGGAAGTGTATCTGTATATCTCGGTAAATCTGATAAAGTCTTTCTGCCCCATTAGATACAAAAAAAATCACTTAAACCTATGGCTGCATTTCCATTTCTCTTACGGTACCACAGATAAAAATTCTTTCCATGTTAAGTATTTACATATTTATTATGGTAATAATAATAATAATCCTTGCATTTGATATAGCGCTTTTCACATCGGGAGGACATCCCAAAGCACTTCACAGAACACACTGTAAAGTGAATTGACTGTATATTTGTGGGCGAACGCGGCAGCCAATTGCGCACAGCAATGTCCCACAAACAGTCGTAGATTGAAAATGACCAATTTATTATTGTTTTTGGTTTTGGAGGGATTATTATTAGGCTCTGTGTGGAGTAAGGAAACTTGCCCAAGGTTTCGCCCTGTGCCTGGAATTGAACTCAGGTCTCTCACTTGCAAAGACCTTTCAGCTTCAGGGACCTTTTCTTTTATGGTGATGATGGGGGATGCATTTGTCCACATAGCTTCCTTGAGCAAGCACTCCAAAATCATTGTGTTTACCATAACTGTAGCTTTACCGAAGAGATGAACAAGAGTATTATTTTATTTCTAAAATTGAAATGTACACAATACATCCCTCAAAATTAGGTAACATCCCAATGTTTAGCAGTTAGAAATTGTTTTTTGCGCTACTAGTGCGATTTATACCACATTTGGCATAATATATCGCATAAATCACATCAACCAGCAGCTCTAAATCTGTAAGCAGGCCTGTAAAAGAGCACCATTGTTTGTTTTAGTAACCTTGAAAGCAGGTGGCACTTTGTTGTAAGAGTGCATTACTGTATATATGTGTCAGAGGTATAAGTGGATTCTAACAGCATGCACGCAGAGGGCTGTGCATTCTTGCAGGGTGTGAAGGCTCGCCTGTCAAGTCAAATTAAGGGGACCGTAGTTTATCAGATTTACAACCTGGCAAAAAAAAACAATATACAGAAGTGGCAATGATGCAATTAGTGAAGTATGCTTCCAGACACCGTATGGATAATTTTATGAGACTGCTGTCTTTAAAATCAGGATGCCATTTTTCATTTTGAGGTCACCGATCAATACAGTAAAAGCCCTTGGTTCTGACTCGTAGCACAGAACCTTATCACTCAGTTACTGGCCCAAAAGTATTGACGTGTCTGCTTTTGTAAGATTGTTAGTTTAGAAACAGATACTGCAGTGATATATTATTCATGTCTGCCTGCAATTGAATGCTTTCAAGTTGCATTATCCAACATCTTGGATCGTCCAAGTGTTTATATTTGGGATGGGGTAACTTTTAAGGTAAACTCATAGGTACTCACTCTAGTTATATTCTAAAATATAATTGTATTCATCAACTCACCAGAATAATTGTACTCATCAACTACCAGTATAGAATTCGAGTGAATGCATTGAGGAATTCTTCTCTCACTTCTCAATAAGTTGCAATTCATGCCAAGGTAGTATTCGTAGGTCTGGAATGACTGTAACCTTTAGATCATGGAATTGTTCTATAAAATTATTGTGGGTTGTCTTTCAATTTACTGCAGACATTTTATCCAGTCAGTTTCAAGGACCCACAGTGCAGACATTGTCATGTTGAATTTCAGTTAATGCATTTGACATCTGGGAAGAGGGCATAACTACTGACATGTGTGTCTTGGGTGCAGTGCTCTTCACAATATTTAGTGTTCAATTGGAGCCTGTGTTGGATATAAATTACCTGGTGTGTGTGCATGTGTACATTAACAATAAAATTAAATCCTTTCTTGCAGGCAGTAGAAGATGTGAATGTTACCTTTGAAGATCAACAGAAAATTAACAAGTTTGCAAGAAATAACAATAGGCTTATAGAATTGAAAGAAGAAATTGAAGTGAAAAAGGTAAATGCAGAGCAATGTACTCTAATGTGGTTTGAAGTTATTCAATCATTCATTAGACTGGTGTGTGCTAAAACCTCTTGAGGTATAGCCCAGTAGATATATATTGACCTCAGTTATCTAGAATTATTTCTCATGCATAATAGCTAAAGTTGTCTTAAATTGTTATCCATGTGACTGACAAGTGGTGATGTTGTTTTGCCATTTGGGCATTTCCAAGTGGTATTTCAGAATAACGTTTCAAAAATTGAACACTGAATTGAACACTTGTGGAATAATTTGACTTTTCCACTCACTGCATTTTGTTCCGGTCTTGTTGAAACTTGAATATACACCAGATAAACCACTGGCATCACAGAAGGGACAGATGTTTGGTCTTTTGTTCCTCAAACTAGCAATAGGAATTTGAATAGGAGTGTGGAGCCCTTCCAATTGGTTCCTGGAGCAAACTATGTGTGTGTGTGGGAGGGGGATGTGATTCAAAGTCTGCATAATTATTCTTTTCTATAGTTTCACTGTTTCAAGTAGGAGTACGGATTAGTCTAAATGTGCCTGACTGGACAGCATTTTATGTTTTTGTGTTTTTCTGCACTGCAAAGTTGGGATGCATGTGGGAAAAATATTAATTTCCTTTTATATGTAGAGCCAATGTCTTTAACTGATCAATTTTAACACATTCTATACCTGGCTTCCATTCCTTTGAAAAAAAACAGATTCCTTTCTATACTCAAATACACTAACAAACCTTCCAACCATGGATCATCATGGAGCAAGGAGAAAGGGACTCTCATTCTGAGCCAAAACACTGTGCCTGAAAAGTTATGGAAACCTTTAGTTTCCTTTAGCTTTGTCACACTATTTTTTTCACACTATTATTGCAGATTCTTTAAAATGGCACTGATCTTGATTCACTTTTTCTCAAATTAGAAACAGTTACAGAATCTAGAAGATGCATCTGATGATATCTTGATGCTTGATGAAGACAGTCTGCTGGTGCCTTATCAAATCGGAGAGGTCTTTATTAGCCATTCCCAAGATGAAACGCAAGAGATGCTCGAAGCTGCAAAGGTACTCTTTCTTTAATGCCTTGGGTGCCTGCAGTTTGCTTCTGAGCTTTGTTCACTGCACTCAGCTCTGAACTAACGTGTCAAATGCAGTCATTCTGTTGGGACATATAAACTCTTAAATTTACATGTCTAAAGCTATAACGTTGGAATACAATTCAAATATTTGTCATGTGAAGCGGATGTGATTGAGTTTTTAAACTGAAAAAAATTGCAAGAAGATTACTTAACTTAGTTATGACTGCAGAATTGAATCGGAAGTAAATTAACAAGACTCTTAGGATTCAAGGATCGTCCCCGCCCATGTGGAGTAGCAAATATGTGGAATAGATGTCCAGCAAATGTTATGTCTTTGGGGAAACTGCCCTTTAGTTGAAAAAGATAGATCAATATCTGTTTAAGAATGGGGTTGGAATTAAGGGGCAAGTGCAGATTGAAATTATAGCAGCTAGGATCAAAGCAGAGATATGTCTGAAAGGCAAATTGTGACAATGAATAGTATATGATAAGGTTTTCCTTCATTTTCCTTGGAGCTCCAAAGTTTATCTAAGTTGACGATTATTTGGTTTTATAGAGTCTGATAATTATCTATATGTTACCTGGCAAAAATGGACATGTTACATTGACTGGCCTTTTCTTCTATTTTGCGTGGTACCGAAATTGTGTTAAATAATAAATAATAATAATAAATAATACTGCAACTCTGCTTTTAATTTTTTTTAAAACTTTGCCAACTTATAAAGGAATACAAATGAGAAATCCGACATTTTCAAAGAAACTTAACAGAAAGTTGGATAATTACAAAGACCATTAGGAAAACTCCAAAAGCTTTCAAGTGAGGCGACCTACATTGCCTTTTCTCTTTCTTTCAAATAATGAAATGTATTATTTCTCGATGACTTTCAATGTGTCATCTTCAATGAAAATGCGACTCAATTCACTTGATCTTGGCCCCATGCTCTGTTTAATGCATTAAAATTGACCCTGAGGCTTATTTTATGTCTTAAGTAAATGAACATAAAAGGCTTCAAATCAGTGATGAACATTTTAGTTTTGTGACTATGTCGAGCCTGATGTATTTAAAACTTTATTTTTCAGCAATGTCTTCAAGACGAGATTCAATCTTTGCAGTCCCGTGTGGAAGCCATTCAGCAGGTGTTATCCGATCTTAAAGTTCAGCTCTATGCAAAATTTGGAAACAACATTAACCTTGAAGCAGATGACAACTGAGCTGTTTATTCTTACCAGTCACATCTCATTCAGTTGAATGATTAAGTTCCCAGGTTGGACAGCTATTGCAGTTTTGCTTTAGGAAATGGCAATGAAAAATCAGTCATTTTGTTCATTATTATGGGACAATCTTTAAGATTTCTGTCCTGCAGCTCCATTTATTTGATGGAAAAACTTTTTGTACGTGTATGCACTCAATTATTTATTTTGTTACAGGGCTTCCTTATATACAGCAGTTGATTATCCATAATATATCAATTGTAATACATTCTAGATTTCCAGCAACAAAAGCATTCAAGCAAATATCTTTAACATATTAATAATAATTAATTGTATGGAATGAGGTAACTGTAACATTAAGAGACAGAATCCGCTTGCATCATCCAGTTTCACCATATAAGTAATTAAACTTTTACAATATTCCAACCATCACATCTGAGCCTTTCCTTTTAAATCTTTTAAAGTTTCTTCAAATTAGTTCTGGACTTCATGTCCTGAAGTATTTGTTTTATAGATCAAATCTGTATGATTTTTATTCAATAAATAAATCTGATACCTCACTGCAAATAGATATTCCAGATTAAGATACCTTTTGGAAAATGCTGCATTGTCTGGGATTAGAAAGTAAGGTCAGCAATTAACATCACTTGTGTGCTTACAACAACTTGCATTTATTTAGCATCCTTCACATAGGAAAGGGTCTTGGAGCGCTTTGCTAAAACTGGCGGATGCAGAGGGAGAGGTGACGCATAGGTCCAGTTGAATAGATAGATTTTGCGTAGGATTTAAAGATGGATGGAGTGGGCAAGAGAGAGGGACAGAGTTTGGGGCATAGCTTTGCTGTAGGTTCAAAGAGCGTGCAGGAATCTGAGTTTGCCGAGAGGAGGGTGTGAGCAGTAGAGTGTGTATGAGAAGATAGCAGCACTTGAGTGTAATCTCGCTCATTACAGATGAAATCATCTTCCACATTCTTGGGACACTTGGAATAATTTGCTGTCATTCCAAATTGGAAGTGGTCTTAAAATGCTCGATTCAGATTTGAATCATTCAATGTCAGTGCTGCTTGAATGAATCTTTAAGCATGATAACAACAGTTGTTGGGATGAGGCCTAACTGTGGAGCAATTTGAAATTGGAGGTAAACTATTTTGACCTGCAAGATCAAGAGAAAAGTTCAACTTTTATCATGTGAAACAAACTTACGATTGACCGGACAGTTCTCAAGCCTTGAGCAATGGAAGTGTGAATCAGTTTGCTAATCTGCAATGCATCTTGCTCGAACGGAGAAAGTTATTAACCTCTGTATTCAAAGGTGTTGCTGTGTTTGTGAGATGATCACAAATCACAAACTCTTTAACATTGCAATAAATACTGCTTAAATATTGAAATGATGACTCGGTATTAAGGTGCAGGTTATACCCTGTTATAGGGACATGAAAGTTGCTAACAAGCTTCAGGTTTACCTTATTGAAATTCTCTGAGCAGATGAGCTTCACTAATCGCTTACTATTCCCATAGATAATGATGCCTCTCAGGTCTTCTGAAATTCCTCAAGGTTAAACGAGCTGCCATTATGCTATTTGAGAAATTCCTATTTCATTTAAAGCATTGTTATGGTAGTGACTTACTGTGGACATACGTACGTGTGTGTGTGTGAGAGGAGGGGGCGCGGGAAGCAGTCCAGAAAGAAAGATTGGAATGTGTCATGCCCCAAAATTAACTAACAAGATGTAAAAATCAGGATAAAGGAAATCCATTGGAACTGCACACCAAGCAGAGGCTTGGGTTCAAATGTGAGTAGGATGTTGGACAAAAATTAGGACTTAATTGTTTCTTTTTTAACGGCATTATTCATAATACGGTGGTGGCGGTGATTGAAAAGATCTGGGAGACGTTGCTGAGGTTTGGTTTGCAAAAAAATTACCAGTATATGTGTGACCCAATTTTATGTGGAATAACATTATAATGATTCAATGCTTATTACAATTTTGACAATCACAGATGTATAATGTCTACAATATCTCAACATAGAAAACCATATAAATAAATGTGCGATACAAGTATAAATTAGAAGTAATGGTAGGGGGAGGGAAGGTGTGTGGGTGTCTATAAGTACATATATGCATATGTATACACGCAGATGCACACATATATATTGACTTTTGCCTCTAAAATTATGAATTAATACATTTGCACTGTTTTTTAAAATTTCTCAATGTGGATCTTAACAGTGCACGGAGTTTCTTAGTTGTCTGCCCATCGAGATGTCATGTGATGGCACAAACAGACCCACAATGGCAAAAAAACACCCTGGTGACCTCCAATTTATGTTACAAAATTAATGAATACAGGGCAGTGATGTCAGGATTCAGTAGAAAATTATAAACCATTAAAGCTTCACTCTTACAATGTATGCCATCGTCTCAAAATGCCTCAAAGCAATTACTGACATAATTAATCTTGCCAAATAAAGATTTGTTTACTTTTACAGCATTATGCTAAGGTTCAATATAACAATAGCATAATTCATACTTATGTGGACAAGACATAACACAAACTGCTGTTTCCATATCTTAGTGTGTTGCATGTTTATTGTGATGTTTACTGTTCAAATTATTACTAGTTGCTAACAACTGTACGTTTGATGTGAGTTTTAGATAGAAAGTTTCAATTTTTTTAAAATTGAGAAGGATTACTTAGTGCGAAAGTATGGGACCAGTGAAATCTGTTCTTTTATGAAAAGTGTAGTTTGCCTTGGAACTGAGAAACCAATAGATCTGTATTGTGTTGTGCTCCAAATCGATTTAATCTGAAAATTACTATAAAGTGAACTCCATCTGCCAGTTGTGATTTGGCAAATTCCATGCTTTGAATTGGCCCTGGTTTCAAATGAACCTTCTGTGGGCCGTATTTCCCTTCAAGGTCTTATTTTCCTTCAAGAATCAGTTTGGAGAATGAATGGTCCAAACACTTATAGAATTGAAGACCGCAACCATTTTTTTTCTGTTCACTCTCAGCATCAAGAAGTCAGGGTGTATGTAGCCAGTATATATGTTACCCTGAACACTCGATGTTAAATTCTCACTGACACATAATGCGTTTTTCAAATAAATCAAAATTATGGCGCATAGCCACAAAACAGTTGTATAAGTATAGCGGCACTATTTAATCTGGCCCTAGATTTGCTTATCGAGTCCAGATTACTACTGTGGTGCTGTTCATTATAAAGATGACATTTGCTAAGTGTGAAAGATGCTGGTGCAGCAGTGACACAGGAAAAAGTACCTGTTTGGGTCATGTTTAGGACTTCCCGACTTCTGCTTACTTCACAACCAGGATCATTTGATATTACCAACTACCTTTATATTTCAAATGCCGCAGTTCATAGGTAATGACGAGGTTCAAGTTTGAGATGTGTATTTGACCTCATTACAGGACTCTTTGTTTCCTAATCACACCAATCCATTCACTGCAGTTTGAAACAGTTGGCAAGTCTGTGGGACATCCGAATTACAACATTTGAAGTGGTAGCATAAATCCTTGAAGCCTCCAGAGAATTTCAAGCCTGAAAACTCGATTGCAGACACAACCACCGAAGTTATTGCCTACATTCTTTCTTATTTGTTGTAAGGCTGAATTGTTTTCTAGTGTTACAGAATCATTATATCGATTGCCATTTACCCTTCTGGCAAATTTAGAACAACAAAGCTGATTGATGCATATCTTAAAGAGCATTTGCAAAGTTATTAAAGTTTGATTTTGCAAGCCCATGAAAAGGCTAATCTATAATAAATATAGATCTTACTGCAGAAAGCTAACCAACCCTGTCTGATGAAAGAAAGCAACCATGCACATCAGAGACTTAATGATTTTTATCTGCATTTCATTAACTTATCAGATAAAAAGAAAACACTAGAGCAAATACATATTGAATGCAAGCTAGTTGACATTTAATTTTTAATAGTCATGCAGATAAAGCCAAATAAAATGTCAAAATATGTTAAATTTATTAGAATGAAAATGAGTTCTAAGGAAACGTGAATCTAGAATGACCTTGATCTTGTTATGCTGGGAAGGATTTTATTTAATATATTAAATCTGTTCAAGGCAATTAAATTGGCCAGTAACCACATGTATAACATATAATACACAAGGTCATGGTGGCATAGTGACTGAGAGACCAATAACGATACTGCCTTATTTGTTGTGTAGTACTGTAGGCTTTTATCACATGCTATGCTTAACAGAATTTCTGCACAATAAATCTCACTGAGACTGCACACATAGTTAATAATGGGCTTGAGACAACATTTCGGATACAGTTGATTCCTATCAGGAGCATAGAGATAGATTCTTGTTCGACACTTGGAGACCGAAATCATTCTCCTCAGGATTCCTTCTTTCCAGTGCAACATTAGAGCTTAATTCAAACGTTAACACACAGAAGTAAAAGATGACATGAAATTGCACTAAAACACTCATTTGCCGAAAATAAGACACAGCTAATGACTCTCTTCACAAGAACTTCATTCAAAAGAAACTAGTATTTAAAAAAAAGGAATAAATTGTGTATCAAAAATAAGATCTTAATAATCCTGAAGGGGTATTTGATGTGAAAATGTATAATGTTAATTTATTCATTTGCTACATTCTTGCATTCTATATTTCATGGTTACATGACTTAGTCATAAAATAGTACAGTGTTGCACCTTTAATAGACTTTTGACATAGAATTGTGTGATCTCTATAGTGTTGCATTTTAGTTAACCTTAGTTTCTCCTCTCGTGTTGTTGTCACCAGTCACACTTACATAGCAGTCTCCCAACGCTCACTCTGGTGTCCCCGAGTCTTGGCTCTTGCCAACCTGTGCCTAATACTATTATATTTGATTATTATATTATTATATTTACTTATAAAATACCCAGTCACTGCACTTCACAGTAAATCCTGTGGAGCACTGTGAGACATCCTGACGTGAAAGGCGCTGCTATACCAGATGCAAGGATTAATATTTATTTACTATACTAATAGCGATCAAGGGAATTTCTCCCCCTGTCCTGGCCAACAATCCCCCAAATAAAGTTGGTCATTCACTTCATGGCTGTTTGTGGGACATTACTCTGCGCCATTTAGTTAATGCGTTCCTACAATATACACAGTCACTATTAAGTTTACGGTATAACCCGTGAAGCACTTTTGAGACATCCTTCATGTCCTCCTGACATGAAAGTTGCCATATCCTTAGATAAGTAAACAGTATATTTGTCTGGTTAGACAGGTGACCTATGATGTCCTGTAGCTCAGTGGTTAGAGCACTCGCTTTGCAAGTGAGAGACCTGAGTTCAATTCCAGGCAGAGGGTGAGGCCTTGGGCAAGTTTCCTTACTCCACACAGAGCCTAATAATAATCCCTCCAAAAAACCCAA